AGTCGTTCCCCGTTTATTTAGCTGGAATCCTACCAGACTACTACATCAAGAGAACACTTAAGACAGGGGTTAGGATTGTGAGGGACAGAAAGATGGCAGAATCATGGCTCATGCAAAACCAAAGGAATGAACATTTAGTGCCAAGTAAAAGGATAAAATTCAGCCTCCAAATTCAACCCAGATAAGAAAATAAACTGACACTATAGACAATAAATTACAGCTTTCTTTTGATGCATGTCCCCCTTTCCTACTGGCATTTACTTAATTGATTTTAGGACATTTTTATATCCCCACCCCACTCTACCCACACACTTGTAAATGACAGATGAGACAACAAATACCATCCTATACTGTAGACTTAGGAGATGGATTCTTAGCTGCTGATTTTAAAGTAGAGGCATTGACAGGTGAGCTTCAGATATATATTACGGCAATGCTTGTTTCTTCCATGCTGATTTTTTTAATGCGAAAGGGTTTACATGCCTCCAGTGTTATAGTTCTGAGTTGAAGCCAGTTTGGGTGATACTGACAATCTCTGAACAGATGTTCATGGAAAACATGTGGCAATCACAGTATGAGTCATCCCACAACAGGGACCTTAGTTACTTGGCAAACGGAGTTGATTATCATCAGGAAAAATGAATACCCATTAGCTGAGATTCTACACCAGGCCAAACACTGATCTAAACATTTACATATTTCACACAGAATCTATGCAGCCAACGCTAAGATCGATCCATGGAGAATTGTGTTTGCCTCAGTAATAAATCTCTTTCAGTCTTAAGCCACTACGCCTCAATAGCTTCCCACCTGTGATGCAGAGTGATAGCACTGCTTTCCTAACAGGATTATCTAACATTTTGCAATGCATTCTTTGGGAATTGTGGATTTCTGCATCTGTCCTCCTAATTCAGCATGGAAGGAAATGGGCAGCACTAAGACAAGATATTGATACTCTCAAACATGGCAGTTACCACTATCTTATCTTGGTGCTTCCTACACCTACTGCTGTGGCCTAGAGATGAAGCTCTTGCCTACCTATCAGGAGGTTGTGAGTTCGATCCTAGGTAGAGGCAGATGTAAGGTGTCCTGCTTGGGCAGGGGGTTGGACTAGATTACCTGCAAGGTCCCTTCCAACTCTGTTAATACTTTCTTCCAGAATCCCTCCTGCAGTTATGGAAAGTAGATACTTTCAAAATCTTGCTCCACATCATTTTGGGCCCTATAGTTAATACTAGCCAGTTTTAAGTGGCCTTATGTGTAAGCATCAGCCTTGATGATGCCAGAACAATGAAATGTTTTTCATGGCATCACACTATCCCTCTTCTTTAAATTCAGGTATTTCTACATTCTACATTTGTTTAAGGAGGCAAAAATTGTGATGTTGCAACATGCATTTTGTCTGTGTCCTTCTTTGTTTCTCATTGGATGCTAAATGATGACATGGGGAGGACTGTCCAATACTGTTGGGGCAATAAGAGGAAATGATAGAGACCCCACTTCTTACATGGTACCCAGAGTGATTATCAATTTTTCATACCACTTTGAATCATAGAGTTAACACTCCAGAAGAATGGCAAAGAATAAAGAATAGTAAACTCATCTTTTTAAAAAAGTTTAAAACCAGTTGACAGGTGATGGAGTAGAAGTAAGAGTTGTGAGGTGACGGGGGAAGAAGCTTTCATCCCACATCAGCTCTCTTCCATCCCTCAAGGGAAATAAATAAGTGAGGCATACTCTCAGTCCATTTAGCCTGTCTTTCTCTTTGGTATATTAGTTTTCTTTGCACAAAGCTTCTTCACTATTGTGCCACTGTTTCACAGTATATTCAGACATTTAAGCCCAAACTTACAAGTCCAATTGTGACAATCCAGGAATATTACTTGATGTTGCTGCTTGTATAAACCAGGCAAAGAAAAACACCATCTGTTAGTGAATCCACAATCATTTTATTGGGCTTAAACAAGATGCATAAAAGAAACAGATGTTAACCATGTTGATTAGAAGAAAGAATAAGAAATTTGTTTTCAGTCAATAAGTTGTACCTTCTTAGGCCAATTCAAAATCACTAAAAAGCACATTGGGTTTAAAAAATAAATATGATTATTGAATAGAAAGAAAAACTAAAAAATGGGGGAAATAATGATTTACCCTAAGGCCATTGTGTAGTCTGGATAGTTTTGTTTACCAGATAGAATGAGCCCAAATTAATTATTCTTTCTTCTAATCAACATGGTTAACATNCTAACTCAGGGGTGTCAAACTCAAGGCCCGCAGGCCAGATCCGGCCCACGGCACTGCCCTGGAAACAGTGAAGGACCAGGTCACAGTGCACAAGCCTCTCCTGAGCTCCGTTTTCGGCTGCAATGGCCACTTGCAACCCTCTGCTAGTAAAACCAGACTGCGTGCGACCCTCCCGAGTTTTCACGGGCAGAGCGCTGGGTCCACCACATGCGCCCCCTGACACGAGTGATATCAAGCTGGCTATTCCCCCCCCTGCCCCCCAAGGTCAAACAAAACCCTGATGCGGCCCTGAATGAAATCGAGTTTGACACCCCGATCTCTCTGTCTGTCTTTGTCTGTCCGTCGATCGATCGATATATCTATAGATATATGCTATCACCACCTCGAAAAATTGTTTACGTTGACACTGCTATTAGTCATTCCATTCCTTTATTTGTTATCTGATTGGGTTCTCCACAAACGCGTGTTCAGCTCTTCGCCACACCATGGCCTACAACGCACCAGGCCCGCCTGACCTCTACTGTCTCATGGAATTTACCCCAATAATGACATTATCTAACCCTCTCAGCCTTTGCTGTCCTCCTTTTGCCTTCCATCTTTCTCCACATTGGGGTCCTTTCCAGTGATTGTTTATTTATATCCCGCCATTATTATTTTCACAAATAACTCAAGATGGCGAACGTATTCAGCACCCCTCTTTTCCCCACAGCTAACAACTCTGTGAGGTGGGTCACCCAGATGGCTTTCATGCCTAAGGCAGGACTAGAACTCACAGAACTCAAATATATACACCGTCTATATTTACATTTTAAGGAAATCAACCGGCTGCACCAGAGCTTTGCAAGTAAAAGAAATAGAAAACACGGACTGTAGTTCGTGTGAGGTGACTGGAAAAAAATATTATCTGTTTCTCTAGGGGTTAATAATTAAGCCATTCCAGAGGCACTGAATACTTTTCTCACCTCCCTTCCATGCGAAGGCTTCTGTTTTGGGAAGAAACAAACAGTTATCCCCAGAATTTTCTTAACTATGCTAGTTTTTATTACATCCGTACAATGGTTAACTACTGGTGCAACTCCAAATCTTATTAACGTATTTGCTGATCGAGAGAAAAGAAAATGGCCGTCGTCGGATTCTTTTTGTTTAATCTTAAGCTTTCAACTTCCATTTCTGCTAGAGGTTGTTTGACTACTTTTGGGACCTTCTGTGAGGGAGATGGGAGGTTAAGAAGATAGAATAGATACATAGCAGAGGTGGGTTCCGGACGGCACTACTGCAGATTCGCTCGTGTGCGCAGTCCAATAGAAATTATTCTGAGCATGTGCAGAACTGAAAAACAAGATGGCGACGGTGACGACCGGGGAACCGGTTCGGGGGTGGCACGCCTGAGTACCTGCTGGTTCTAGTGACCCAGGCCACTAAACCACTACCAGTTCGTCTGGACCGNCTGCCATGCCCACCAAGCCACGCCCACAGAACTGGTAGTAAAAAAAATGAATTTCACCACTGGCCAAATCCCAGATTACTGAAGTATGTGATGAATGCAATTACAAGATCATTCTTGGTAATCTTTAAGAACTCTTAGGAGACTAGAGTAGAGCAAATATCATCCCACCTTCAAAAAGGAAAAGAAATTGCAGACTTTTCAGCTTGATCTATATACTGGGCAACATCTTTGAAGGGATGACTCAACTGCATCTTTATGAACATCAGGATAGTCAACCAACCTAGGATTTGTGACAATAAAACCATGACAAACTAATTTCATCCTGATTGACAGCTTAGTTTTGTGGCCCGCCAGTGGCCCACGGATCTGGCAGCAGATTCAGACAGTGAGGAGGTTGGGCAGGAACATAGGCCAGTCCTGGAGTCTGGGGGAGGCTCTGATGAGGGCTCTGCGTCGGAGGCAGAGATGGGGCCAGGGCAGTCCGACAATTATCAGCTGCCTTTGGAGTTGGAGATCAGTCGGGCAGAAGAACAGCTGGAGCCTGTTCCCGATGTGAGCATGCGCAGAGCCCCCAGGAGAAGGGAACAGTTAAGGAACAAGGGCCGAATCAAAGTAAAGGCACAGTTGGACGGTGAATGGCCCCTCCCATAGGAAATAAAGAGGAGCGAAAGGGGAGAGGAGTTTGCAGGAGACAATTAGTTCCATTCATTAGAGTGAAGATCTGTTGCTGACTTCTTGCCAAGTAATTGCTGCTACAGCATGGCGTTTAGAAGATATCGGCAGCTGGACTTTTTTGGGGTCTACTTTAATTGTCTAGTTTAATTAGATTGAGGACTACCTGCACTTATAAATGCTATCTTGGAAAGTACAGACAGACACACAATTCTTCTAAGTCACAATTCGTTAGCACAAACAGACAACTGAATAGCACTCTTGGAACATCTGAAGAATTGCCACCTTGAAAAGACATGGACTTATTCTCTACTGCCCCAGAATCAGAACCGAAACGTCAAAGCTACAAGGAAGGAAGTTCAACCAGACAGCAGTTAAGAATCTCCTAACAATAACAATTGCAGTCAGGGGATATACAACATATGAACTCTCCTTTGCCAGAGGCCTTCAAACCATCTTTGTACGGTTCTCTTGTCAAAAGTGGTCAGTGGAAACCTACATCCAGCAAACACTTAGGATGGATGATGTCTGCTTGATTATAGACAACAGATTAGATATAAACACAGTTGTTAAACATCATGAAATAGTCATCTGTGTGCCTAGAAAGAGACAGTTCATTGCGGAGGGAAATCTCTTACCTGAAACAGTTGAGGAATCGTACGAGTTCCTGTCCTTCCTACTTGCTCTGAACGTCTGAAAGTCCTTCTCCCTGTAGGTCCCAAATCCGTCAAAGCTCCTTCTCTTTGCTCCACTGGAGTCCCCGTCACGCTTGTCGCTGGCGGAACTCATCTCGCCAAAGACATCCATCACATCGGCTCTCGTACTGCTCTCTGTGTTCCCAGCGTACTTCTTCAGGCAGGGATCATCACTGCTTGAGTTGTTCTTCTCCTTGACCCACTGTTGAGTGTCGGAGAGCGACAACGTAGAGAGGGTGTCCACCTCGAAGCTACTCTTGGCCCCCCCCTTGTGCCCAGCTTCGCAGTGCTGGTGCTTCTGTTTGTCCTTGTGTTTGCCTTTCTCGGTCAACAAGGAGATGTCTTTCTCGGAGACATTTAACCTCTCCCCCACCGAATGGCTGGAGAAGCCCGGTGACTTGCTTGCAAAGAGGCTGCTGAGGTCATCGTGAGCCCCCAATATCCGCTCCTCCTTGTGTTTGTGCTTATGTTTGTGTTTCCTTTTGTGAAGTCGGCCGCTGGATAAGCTGGTCCCCGACACCTTGGCAGAGGTCAACGAGGAATGGACCTCTCCGAGGCCCATCCCTACGGGCGTCTGCAAGTGGACGCCGTGCTTGGCTTTATGCTTGGCAGTGTTGGGCATCTTCATGTGAGAACTTGGATGGAACTGGGGAGGGGGCACTGTCGGCCTCATGAAAGGAGACGCCGTGCCCAGGGTGTGAGACAAGTACAACGGGGCCGGGTACTGACTGTAGTAGCCCAGGTTCATCATAGGCATTGATGTGTAAGGCATTCCGTAGGGTGCATAGTAACTCCCGCTGGGAATAGGGTAACCAAACCCTTGTAAGAAAGGCACCTTCGTCATGGTGTCATTGGTTTTGGCAGGCCGACCGCGCTTTTTCTTAGACTTCATGTCGGAGGTCCTGCGAAGATACAGCAATGGGTCATACTGGATATATGGCACAGGATAGTAGGGATCAAAGTTGATCCTGAAAATGCTGGGGTACGGATTCTCGTGATAGAACGTGTAGCTTCGGTGAGAAATTCTGAAGACTTGGAACTTACTGATCAGTTCCTCTAGATCAGCCAGGAACTGGAGGTCATCTCTGTTCTGTAGGTTTTTCCGCTTCCTCTTGTGCTTTGGCTTCTTCATGGACTCGTGGGAGAGAAAGTTGTCCACCATGAGATGCTTTGGCCGGTGGCTGTGCCTGTTCTTACTGCTGGTGTCCGACTGGACAGCTTCTGGGTTGTCCAGACTACAGAAATCGAAGGAGTATCTTCGACGCGATTCTGAAGTCTTCTCGGCTTGGTCGGCGGTGCTGTTGTTGTCTGTACCAATCCCGCTGTCGCTTGGGATGGTTTCTTCGCTGTGGGACTCGCTCAGAGGAGACAGTGTGATTTCCTTCAGAGAACCGATGTCGCACAGGTGGGAAGGAGAATTGGCCATGAGCCTGGGTGGGGACAACTTCCAAGTCCCGCTGTGGATTCCTTTCGGAGTTTTGGTGGGGAGTGCACTGATGGGTTGTAGATTTGGCATTGTCTTTAACTCTGAAAAATTGGTGTCAGTCCTGGCAGGGCTAAGGTTGTCGTGAGAGCCCGCTAGCTGCATGGACAGTGGGTGAACCGTTGCTGGTGAGGACGTCACGAGAGATTGCAAGGTTGAAGGCACGGCTGGGTGATCGGGCTGGCTAGATACAGGCCTCAAATGTTTGATGACCGCCTTAGGGTCTTCCTGTGGAGACTGCAACTCAGATCTTGGCTTTCTTCCTCTCTTCTTGCCTATGTAGATCGTCCCTCGTTTGCTCACATTGATTTGCTTTCCTAACCTCGCGTCGATCGTTGGAGCCCCCGAGGTGGCCGGTGGCTGGGTTTTGGCTTTCAAAGATATGTTACTGGAACACGATAAGATCTGGCTCAAGAGGTTCTTCCTCTTGAGGGTCTTCATTTTGTTGATAGTCTTGATGGTCTTCTTATCCAGGACACCAAGTTTACCCACCTTTTTGTGAAATTTCAACTCACCGGCCGAGTGTTCCTCTCCCAAAGGCATCTGAGTCAGGTTCACCAAGTTTCGCCTCTTCTTTCTCTTTTTTGTACCCGGGAACTCCCGACTGATTGGGCTGACTGGGCTGGTGGATGTTCCCTCATGGATGGTCTCGACGGTGAGCAAAGGTTGCTTCTTGGGTCGGCCCCTCTTCTTCTTGATGGGAGTGATCACCGTCAGACTGTCTGTGTTGGTATATAGAGGGCTGGATGGCGTTATGGGATAAGCAGATGGAGGTTCTAACATCAGTTTCTCAGATGGACTCAGAGAAGGTTCCCGGAACATGTTTTTAGGTTTGCTACAAGTCCACCTTCGTTTGGCTGAAAATTTGGGGTGCTGAATCTCTAAATGCTTGCTGGGGGCAGGGATATCATTTGTCACCGGAACGGACGTGACGGTTGGCGTCTTTTTGAGCCTGGTCGCGTTGCTCGAGGGTGATTTATTGGTCATCTCGTTTTTTTCCATGGATACCACGGAGGGAGATTCGATCTCAGGAGCTTTCGCTGGCTTTGTGACACGGGGATCTTTCTGACACAAGTCTACTTGGGTGCTACTCCGGCTGGCTACATCACTGTTTACAGGTTGCCCAGGAAATGTAGATTTCTCTGTCTTGTCGGGAGCAACTTTGGTTGACTGTCTTTTCTTCCTTTTGTGGCCAGGTGGTTCCCCTATTGGACCTTTGATCGGGATAGTAATTCGCACGTGGCTCGTATCATTTTCAGACAGGTTGGCTGAGTTTGGGCTTTGCCGGGGCGACGGTGACTTGGTTGCGCTGGGTTCCTTTTTGCCATCCATGTTGACATTGGGTTGGCCTTCCAATGACTTCTGAGGGTTCTTCACCCATTCTAGGTCTGTATTTAGGGTGGTCTGGTTGATTAAGTCTTTCTTACTGGATTTTTTCTTGGAGCTAGTGCTGGTTTGATCGAGGGGGTCTGCTTGTCCCCCTCCCTCTTGATTTAAAAATCCACTGCAGTCAACCAGATTGTTAGACTGGGAAGCTAATCCAAGAGCGTTTGACCCCGCGGCTGCAGTGCAAGAGGAATGGTCTTTGTTACCACCACCACTGGTCAGCTGAGCCCAGGCGCTGCTGGAATTTGCCTTCTTAACTTGAGATTTGCTGAATGACAGCCCAGCCTCTAACCCCGAGATCTTAGGGGAATTAGTGGCTTCTCGGTTGGACTCCGGAGCAACGAAGCAAGCTTGAGATGTCGATCCAGACTCAGATGTCAACGACCAGTCGAGATGATGTTGGTTGCTATTTCTTTGCTGGTGCCGTGATTTTAAGGTGTCACTGGTGAAATCCTGGGGTAGCTCTGGATCGTAGTGAACCACGGAATGTTTCTGTAGCCGGTCATAACCCTGGAAAGAAGGGAGACAAGAAAAGAGAAAGAAGGTTAAGACTTCTCATCCTCAAAATATCTGTATCTGTCTGTCTCTGTCTGTCTATCTAACTCAGGGGTGTCAAACTCAAGGCCCGCAGGCCAGATCCGGCCCACGGCACTGCCCTGGAAACAGTGAAGGACCAGGTCACAGTGCACAAGCCTCTCCTGAGCTCCGTTTTCGGCTGCAANCCTAACCCTTGCCCGTTTAAGTTGTTCGCCGCCCTGAGTCCCTTTTTGGGAATAGGGCGGCATATAAATAAAATAAAACTTAAACTTAAACTTAATTAGATGTTGAATACAACAGACATATGGTTCTTGAAAAACAAGGAATCCTTAGTTCTGATCTTTAGAATTGTGATGAACCCTACCCCCCAGTCCTATGCAAACTCATTTGAGAGAAAGCTGCACTTAAAACTGTATATTATTATATGTGAAATAAACTGTCCTTCTGTGCATGCTGCCTAGTCTCTCACAGCTAGAAAAGAAGTCTATTAAACAGTAGGCCTTTTTTCAAGTGAGCATATACATAATCTGGCAGCAAAGATAGAAGTCTTTAACTTATTCTTTTAAAAACTTGTTTCAACTAATAATCAGATATTTTAGTTATATTATAGGTAGATCATAGAATACAAGCCTGTATTCTTTGTAGTACTTATGTTTCACATTCAAAAATGGATTTTTTTATTAATAAAGAAAGTGACAAATAATGTTGATAATATTTGAAATCTCAGGTGGTTATATATTGGTAGGTAAGGGACAGGATAACAGGAAGGTGAAACTATGGTTCAGTAAGGATCTTCAATAGCAAATGAAGAATTACAAATTATCTTGACGGATCAATTATTGTTGATTTTTTCAACCACAAGTGGATATGCTCCATTGAATTGTTATGAGAAAGAAGTAAAAAACAATCACTGCACATTTTGTAATTTAACTCAGCCAGCTTTTTTCTCCCACACCTTATTTAATCAATTATATCAAGATGCCTCTTTGTTCCCATTTTCTTGGTTGATATTCCTGTTTAAAACTTTTGGTTGCCTATTTCATGACTCTTAAATTTAGGGAGAAAAACTAGTTGTTGGGGTTAGGCAGATCTTTGCTTTTCCCTAAAAACAACTTTTGAGAGCATGTCCTGGACTTTGTTCTCCAGAACTTTTAGTTAGCTTATTTTAAAAGTTGTTAATATGTACTTTCACAAAAATAAAATAAGATTAGAATGAAAATGTGGGGTTTCAATGAAGTCATACATCTGGTGTTCTAATAAGCTATTCCAGCACAACAAATCATTGTCAATTTATCCCCTGAGGCTTCAACCTGGATATTTTTAAAAGTCACACTCTATGTGTTAATTGGCTTATCCAATGCCAAGATGCTCGCTTGCCTTATCAGCAACAACTTCTTTTTTTGCTTCCGCGTTTATAATCCTGCCACACAACTGTGTGCATGTTCATTGTGCATGAGCATGGTGTGCCTATGCATATGTAGACATTTGTAAAACAGGATAAGGCTTTGTGCATCTGATAACTATAGTCTACAAACCGCATGCTATGAAATGCATTAGCATTCAAGGTATCAAAGACTTTTGTTGTTTTAGGTGTTTGAGACATTTTTTCCCCCCTCACATCTACCCATCAGCTGAGGAAGCCACTGAGATTTAAAGAAAATTATACTCTATGTTCTTAAACACACATCCATTGTCTCAGGCCATTGGACAGGAAACAGAGGAGAGGAGAGCATTTTAAAAAGACAGGGAATTGAGGAAGGCCAAAAGCTAGAACGCAGAAATGAATCTGACATGATGGTAGGAAAGGCTTTTGCACAGTAAAATCACAAGCACCTTTAGTTAAGGTTGGGAGGGTGTTGCTCATAGAGCTACAGAATACTTAGAATGAGCCATCAACCTGATTCTCTCGGTGCATCCTTATAGTTTATGAAAAATGTACTGTTAAAAAAAAGATACTGTAAGTTTTCCACATGCTGAAGAGTATCCATTACTTTAACCACCAACAGGAAAACTAGCTCACTTGAGTATGTACCCTACATAAAGTAATTCCTACTTCATAGTTCAATTTGGAAGTCTCTCCTAAATATGATTTGAAAGTCATGGTCCTAGAACATACCTCCTACACAGTTTTACAAAATTGAAGGAGGTCCGTTCTGCAGTTTTGTTTGCCACTTGTATTACAGCTGAGCCTAAATATAGCTTGCTCTATAATGCCTTTTGCATATACTCTATTTGTCTGTTTGTGTATGTTTGTGCACTTGTCTCTCTGCGTGCTGTGAGATGTGAAGCCTATCTCTTTGAGATAGGCTGAGATGTGAGAGGAAGCCTTTTTCCTTGTTCCTTCTCAGGTGTAAGCTTTTATGTCACAGCATTAATTCTGCATCTCGTAAACCATTTTTGTCCTCAATGCAAACATACAGTTTCTGCAGAATACCATATCTCCTTCTACATTCCTTCCAAGATGTATAGCTTTAGTTTTTCAGTATTTTAAAACTTTGTAGCAGAGCTTCAAAAAAATAATAATAATTGGGGGTTATCACATAATACCTTATTCTATGTCTAAAGAGACTTGCTCTTAACTATCATATAAATCATGGCATTTGGGGAATATTCATAATTTACTACAATTGAATAACAATTTACAAATCATTTTAAAAAAATGCAAAATAATACGAATATATAATTTGCCACTTTTCTTTTTGGTTAATCAATTACAATGTTTCATGTGCAACATGTCAGAATAAATTCTTATACTACCATGCATTTAAAATAGTTTGAAGCTGAAGATATACAGCTTTAAATGAGTAACCCTTAGCAAGTATGTGATGCTAATGGGATTTTCTGAAATCTGAACGTCTGAAATCAAGATATAAATCATGGTTTTGCTATAGAGCTGACTGTTTTTTAAGTTTACGACTCCATAAACCTTGTCAATATAAGTTTTAAAAAAGCTGCTATTACTATTAGACCATCATAAAAAGTGTAGTAATCAGATTAAACTTATATTTATGACATAATTGCTTGTCTTATACACACAAAATAAATATATCACACAAATGCACATGGACCATTCTGTATATATTAAAAAAAATAATGAGATTCCCAATGCTTTTAATAGCTTTAAAAAATCTACTATTTAGTAGACAACTCATTGACTATTGCAATAATATAAACCAATTGATTGCAACTGCTTTTATTGGCACACAGTAATCATTTTTGTAACAAACATTTAAAGAATTGTGGGTTTCAATTGCATATTCAGTGCCCAATACTCTACAGAACTCTGCACCTAATAGAACAGAGACATGCTGATATAATCTGAATATTTAGAATAAGTAATACCTAAAAAATGGATGAGATGACAACATGGAACTTTATAAAAAGTATACTGCATATCCGTAATGTAACATGAATAACATTAGTAATTCTTGTTTTTAATTATTCATTCTTTCATTAACAACCAAATTACTTTTTGACATGATTACTATAATAAAGGTTTGTTTAATATTTTGCAAAAAAAACCTGTTCACTCTAAATAGGTAGTGTCCCCTCTCCTGCCACTCCATTTACTATTTCTAATAAGTAAAGATGGGATAGTTATGGAGAACTATACATTCTCTAATATATGTCATATATCCACCAATGAAAAATACACACTTGAACCCAACAGTCTACGGAATCCATTTTAATAATGTATACACACCATGTATAAAATCCAACAAAATTTGGTTTGATTAAACACACTAAAGTTTGTTGGATTGCATGATTTATCTAAATTATGGGCACTAGCCTACATACAATAGTTGAACTCTGGTTTGAAAAAATTAGAGCTTTGATTCCTCTTGTGGCATCCTAACCAAACAAGCCACAACTGTTTTGTATTCCCTCTTTAATTAGCAGGGAATGCTACAAGTGGAATATATACAATGAAAAGTGATTATTATAGACTGTACATTTTCTGTCTTAGTAAAACTGTTACAGCCTTAATTGACTAAAACGTTATTGCCTGTGGAGGTCAATATATATGAACTCATCTAATAATGGTCATGGTGGAACACTGCAACCTGAAAGGTACAGAAATAAAAGGTAAACAGCATATTTCCATTCCAATATATATTCTCTCTCTTTCTCTGTCTTTCTGTCTCTCTGTCTCACAGACAGGCAGACAGATAGACAGACATTTCATTACCCAAACTAAGTAACATCATCAGTGCTATCAAGAAACATTTGCAAGAAAACAGCTAGGCTTAGAGAGTACCAAAGTTCCCTCATTTCAACTGAGACCAGTGGTGGGTTCTGGCAGTCACTACTGCTATTTTGCTCAGGGATGTGCCCCGCAGCACACGCTTGATGTGCGCGCATGTACAATACAACAAAAATTGCTCTGCAAATGCACAGAAGCAAAAAAACAAGATGGCGGTGCCCACCGCACGGCCGGGAGAACCGGTTCAGGGGCATGCAGACCTGGGTCACTGCCGGTTCCAGCGATCCAGGCTGCCAAGCTACTACCGGTTCAGCCAAACCAGTCTGAACCGTAGGAAACCCCCCCCCCACTGACCAACACCTACAAATATTCTCCCTTATTGGAACAGGAGGAAATTATTATACATTTACTGTAAGTAAAGTTTGGATTTTGCAGAAAAATGGTATTGGAAATTGCTTATGGAATACGATAACAGGAATACATGCAAATTAATAAATTAGATGTTTAACAATGGTTCAGCACCAAACAGTAATTATGCCATTCCCTTGGTTGTTTAATCTTTTTATGGACAAATGCATAAGGAATGTTTGTGGTAATGTTCTAGAGATGTGTTGGTTAAGGATGTGAATATGCACATATTTTTGTAGACAGATAATATCATACTGTTGGCTGAGAAACCAAATATTAGACAGACTAAATGATTCAACATAGGCTAAGGATTGGAAAATTAACGTATCTAATGATGAAATACTAGAGCAAGTAGGTGAATTTATATACTTTAGTAAAACATTTCCCAAAGATGGAGAAATTTATGGGGAAGTGATGATATGTGATAAAAATGTGGTCTAGTCTGTTATAAGCAATTAATATTTTTTAAAACAAGTGAAAACAATTTTGTATAAATGTATATTTCTATCTCCTTTTTATATGTGAGAATTGGACAAGTCAGAAGAAACAAAAGTTGACTGTAATGGGGATGGATTATTTAAGCAATCTTCATGGTATAAAACTTGAACAGACTGAAGCAAGAATGAATGAAGTAATACAAAAGTAAATGATCTGTATGAAACAAATATATTGAAGTGGTTCGATCACAAAGAAGGATTAGAACAACAAATGTATAAAAAGACGAAGGAATGATGACAAAACAGAAGACTGAGAAATTCATATTGCTAAGATGACATTTCCAAAAAGAAATGATAAATTTAAAGATTAAAAAGATGTGCCATGAAGTAGCTTGGAAAAATGGTAGAACCAAAGATGGTTTGTAAAGATAGAGAATTACAATGAAAAATGTCAGTATAAATTATATTTAGCTTTATTTCCTTTTATGTGTCTTATCTTATACCTTAATTCCTTTGTCTTACTTTTTAAAAATTCCTTTTCTGCAGTGTGCTGTATTTCTCATCCCAAAAGGGAATGAGAAAACTAAAGGGATAACTAAATTTAGTTAGCTGTTCCGACAGGCCTGGGGCTAAAGAATCGTTG